CAGCCCCAGCCCCACGGGCTGCACTCCCACCCTTCGCAACCCCGGTGCCCCCGTTCACATGCTCAGCCTCTGCTGGACTGCCTCCTGCCAGAGGGCTTACAATAATCATAAGGGATGACAATCTGTGGTAGCTCTCACCCCAGAGTTACCTTTCCTGCAGGATAGACCTCATCCTTCATTACACATTTGCCAGCAATAATTCCCCCAGAAAAGTGAACTTGCTTCAGTCCCTCCCCATAACCTCTGCATGGTTGTTGGTGGGACAGGGCAGGGGAGGGGAGGGGAGATGCCATCACCCACCCCTCGCAATGGCAGGGTCCCCATCCCTCTTACACTCCCATCATAGGTGAATATTGACCACTTCACCAAGGCTGTGACCATGAAGAACCTGGTGGAGCCATCACCAAGCAGCTTTGACATGGCCCAGAAGAGGATCTTTGCCCTGATGGAGAAAGACTCCCTGCCCAGATTTGTGCGGTCGGAGTTTTATCAGGAGTTAATCAAGTAGCAATGCGGCAGGGCTGTGCGAGGCATTCCCCGCGGGCGGTCCCACTGCTTCTGTCTAAACACCTGCCCCTTCTCCTGCAACCGCTTTGCTTTCTCCATACCACCCTAAAAGAGCACCCAGGGGCGTTGCTAAACAGCTCCCCCTGTGCTTTGGACTGTCAGATGGCCCGATGTCTCCTCTCTTACAGTCTCTTTCCTCTCCCACAAAAGACCAATTAGCAGAAACCCCTGGTGACCCTCCCTGGACTTGGGACCCAGAAGGGCGGTGGAGCAGCCCCAGCCCCGCCGCGACCGGAGCCACTCGGGCAGCCGGCGCATCGCTGGCACTGTGGGCTCGGCTTCAGTCAGAGGCTCTGAGGCGCCGGCTCTGCCTTCTTAGGACTTCTTAGGACATTATGATATTTCTCCCAGTTTTGCCCGTATCGCTGGTTTGCGCCAGGCTCTCTCCCTCCCCCCGGCTTCCCAGAGCGTGGCTGAGGCTGCAGAGGGTACCCCACGGGTGCTGCCCTCCCCGGCCAAGTCCAGCATGCCCCGGGCTGCAGCCTGGGGCATGTCCACCGCGGGATCGGCATCACCTTGTCTTCAGAAAGCAGCCG